GTGGAAGGAATCGGTCCACCATAAGTAAGTGGAGGTTACACATGGGCAAAGATGTCGTTGCCAATTTTACCACTAGAAGAAGGAACCTTTTCACTAGTAGCTTCCCCCTTGTCGGAGTTAGCATTTGTCACCTTGTTAGTGGGATCACCCACTTTCATCGGCGCGGTAGATAGTTTAAGCCCTTCTAAGAATTTGTTAGACATGCTTTCAACCTTGGTCATCATGGAGGTTTTCAATGTGTCCAAAGCCACATTGAATTCCTCACGAGAGACCGCGGTTCCCCCATCGGTCGTAGACGAAACCGAATTCACACCGAAGTGCTCCTCCACACCGTCTACGGTGTCAACCATACTCTTCGGACGGCAAAGTCCTTAATAAAGAGATGAGGCTCTGATACCAATTGAAAGGATCGATAAAGTTGACTAGAGGGGGGTGAATAGGCAACTAACAGTTTTTAGCTTTTCTTTACCAATTTAAACTTTGCATCAAAGTAGGTTGTGTAGATATGCAACTAGGTGAGCAACCTATATGATGCAATAAGAACAAGTGGACAAGCAAGCAAGGGATATAACACAAATAAGCTTGCACAAGTAAAGGCACGAGATAACCAAGAGTGGAGTCGGTGAAGACGAGGATGTGTTATCGAAGTTCCTTCCTTTTGAGGGGAAGTTCGTCTCCGTTGGAGCGGTGTGGAGGCACAATGCTCCCCAAGAAGCCACTAGGGCCACCGTATTCTCCTCACGCCCTCACACAATGCGAGATGCCGTGATTCCACTGTTGGTGCCCTTGGAGGCGGCGACCGGACCTTTACAAACAAGGTTGGGGCTATCTCCACGACTTAATTGGAGGCTACCAACGATACCACATAGCTTCACCACAATGGAATATGGCTCCGTGGTGACCTCAACCATCTAGGGTGCTCAAACACCCAAGAGTAACAAGATCCGCAAGGGATGAGTGGGGGAATCAAATTTCTCTTGGTGGAAGTGTAGATCTAGGCCTTCTCAACCAATCCCTAGAGAATCAACAAGTTTGATTGGCTAGGGAGAGAGACCGGGCGAAAATGGAGCTTGGAGCAACAATGGAGCTTGGGGATGGAAGAGATAGTCAACTCGGAGAAGAAGACACCTCTTATATAGTGGAAGAACAAATCCAACCGTTATCCACCAACTCAGCCTGCGTAGCACGGTACTACCGCGCCGGGCACGCGGTACTACCGTAGGGCCCCGCGGTACTACCGCCCGAGCAGCAGAAACCAGAACAGCCCAGATGAAATGAAGCAGAGGGCGGTAGGACCGCTGGCGTGGTACTACCGCTCCCCCTTGCAGTACTACCGCAAGGCAGGGATGGTCCAGATTTTGGGAAGGCACCGACATATAAAAATACATCCATGGCAACTTCCGCTGAGTTGGGATCTATGCAAAAATCCGACACGGTAGTACCGCAAGCCAGGAGTGGTACTACCGCGCAGGGTGCGGATGTAAAAAATTACATCCGCTCCTACTGCCGTGCAAGCTGCTGAGCCTGGCCAGAGTGCACGGTACTACCGCGCACCAGGTGCGGTACTACCGCATAGGGCGCAGATGTAAAAAATTACATCCGCCCCTACTACCGCAATAGCAGCAGCGCCTGGCCTGAGGCCACAGTACTACCGCTCCAAGGAAGCGGTACTACCGTGGGCACTTGCGGTACTACCGCTTCTAGGAGCAGTACTACCGCATGCCCCAGATCAGCAAACACGACATTTTGCATAGACAAGAAAAGACGGAGGATGCTCCAAAGTGCCAAAGGAAAGGCGGTGCAAAGGAGTAGACGTGTACGTGATGATTCCACCCAAACCTTTCCAAAGCGGATCCCCTCCTAATAGTACGGCTTTCCTACGACTCAAATCCACCAAAAAGAAACGTAGAGAAACACCGTCTTCAATAGTCTTCGAGAGGCACCAAATCGTCTTGTGCCTAGTGATGAAATGTCTGAAATACTCCATGCACACGATTAGTCTGCAAAAACACTGTCATCAATCACCAAAACAATTAAGGGATAAATATGCCCTTACATGAATATGATTTGTGAGTAGTTACGTTTGTTCTTGAGGACATGAGAGAAGTCTTGCTGTAAGTAGTCATGTGAATTTGGCATTCGTTCGATATTTTGATGAGATGTATGTTGTCTCTTCTCTAGTGGTGTCATGTGAACGTCGACTACATGACACTTCACCATTGTTTAGGCCTAGGGGAAGGCATTGGGAAGTAATAAGTAGATGATGGGTTGCTAGAGTGACAGAAGTTTAAACCCTAGTTTATGAGTTGCTTCGTAAGGGGCTGGTCTGGATCCATATGTTTCATGCTATGGTTAGGTTTACCTTAATACTTCTTCTGTAGTTGCGGATGCTTACAAGAGGGGTTAATCATAAGTGGGATGCTTGTCCAAGGAAGGGCAGCACCCAAGCACCGGTCCACCCACATATCAAATTATCAAAGTATCGAACGTGAATCATATGAACATGATGAAAACTAGCTTGACGATAATTCCCATGTGTCCTCGGAAGCGTTTTCTTTTATATAAGAGTTTGTCCAGGCTTGTCCTTTGCTACAAAAAGGATTGGGCCATCTTGCTGCATCTTATTTACTTTCATTACTTGTTACACGTTACAAATTACCTTATCACAAAACTATATGTTATCGATAATTTCAGTGCTTGCAGAGAATACCTTACTGAAAACTGCTTATCATTTCTTTCTGCTCCTTGTTGGGTTCGACACTCTTACTTATCGAAAGGACTACAATAGATCCCCTATACTTGTGGGTCATCAGTTACTGAAACACAAACACAAAGGACCATGAACACCTAGAGTACCCTAAGACAACCATAACACAAGAATATCTCCGGAGCTCCGTGTCATCATCCCTGGATCTTGAGAGAAGACCCCTGCAGCAGAAGGATCTGCAACCAGGCGCAAGCAGGTCATCATCTTCGACCACGGTACAATTGTCGCCGCGCTGCTTCCTCCTTTCTTGACACCAGCGCTGAGAGGGCATGGACATCAATCCAACACACCTGCAAGAGCCGTCGCCATCTTTGGCTTTGAGTACCGCGAAAAGTGTCCCTTTCGGAAGGAAGAAAAATCGAGTCATCCAACCGGTCCAGCACCGCGAAAAGTGTCCCTTCCGAAAGGAAGAAAACTCGAGTCATCCGACCGGTCCAGCACCGCGGCCAGGCCATCCGCCCGGACAAAGCAGGATCTCCCACCAGCATCGGCGCAAAGGAAGGAGAAGAACAGCAGCAGCAAATCATACCGACAAGAAAGAAGAAGGGTCTTCGTCTCTCTACATCCATCGCCCATCTGGGGACCCAAACGGCCAGTGCCAATGGACCTCCATCCACCATAGCCCGCGACCTCGACGAGATCCGGGCATCCCCCATCCCGCTGGCTCCTAGACGAAGGCAAAAGCCTCGCCTGACCACGGACGGAGCCCGGAGAAACTTATTCTGACGCGACACCACCGCAATGGCCTCGGCAGCGTCTCCCTCAACCCTAACCCTACCACACACCCACCAAGCGAACAGACCCGAGTTTCCCCCTCCCTCCCGCCGCCGTAGCGGCCGACGAAGAGAGAGGGAACCGGTGGAGCCACCGGCGGCGTGTAAGGGAACCCTCGTCGCCTCCCTAGATCGCCTTGTGCGGTCCTACTTTTCCGGAGCGGAGCGGTCAGTTTTTTATGTAGCTACTGCCATTTATTATGAAGGGATATCAGGAGATTTTCTTTGTTGATGTGTTTCAAAAAAATGTTAAATAAGCCGAGTCGAGGCGGGAGGGGCGTTGCGCGGAAGGACTACCCACACGTGTGAAGAGAAAGAAGTTCCAACCATGCAAGCCTGTCCTATTGACCAGAGTCAAGTAAGGGCATGTCCAACGCGGCGCTTAAACACAGGCGTCAGGGTCTAAATCCCGGTCAATTAGCAATTGATTTCTTTAATCCTGGTGCCAGGTGAAGCGTCGGCGCAAAAGTGTGCATCGAGCGCCAGGCACTTTTCCTTCCCGCTGTAAGCGCCCAGGCTGTTTGATTAGCCCATGTCATTAGCATCTGCCGTTGTAAGGCTGGTCACAGTGGGGAGGAACTTAGGAGTAACATCACACACTCCAATACAACTTTGCTTATGTGGCACGTATTTAATGAAGAGAGAGGTGCTTGTGGTAACTAGCTAAGTTACCGGAACATCACACATTCCAAGAAACAATGAGTCTATAACCTAATAAATACATCATTGCATGACACTACATAGATGTTCCTACCCACTATGGAGGTAGTAACATAGTCTAGGGAAGTGTGAAGTTACTAGCTTATGTTCTTGCCCATTGTGACCAGCCTAAGTCCGGGCGCTTAGATGACTTTTTAATTTTTAATCTTTATTTTTTCCTTCATTAGCGTCTATACAAGCGGCTCCCATTGGAGATGCCCTAATGGTATTCAATTCATGTCGGTCAAGCTATTGTTTCTTGACGACCAAGAAAGCTAATGTACAACTCGTTACAATTAACCAGAGAATTTCTTCGAACTTGATCACTTGAGCCCGAAATACTATAAACATCGAGTCGGCCTGCAACACCGCCGCCACTCATCCGGCCAAATTGCCGTCGACGCGTTCATCTCCTTGTTGAATCGCTGATGCGAACTCAACGACTCGCACGGCGCGGTGTGCGCACCTTTGCCGGCCAGCAATAGAAAGAAACGAAGGGCTGAGATCTACTCCACCCGCGGTGGAGCCACGGATTCCCAACTCACTGCCGAGTCGGTTTGGAACCGCCATACCCAGTTTCCGATCACGTACACAATAATAATCTGGTCAGAATAAACATCCATCAACGGAAGCGCGGATAAAGCGGCCGCACGTCTACCCCTCCGCTCGAAACCGACTTCGCTCTCGCGTGTGGCCGGGGAGGCGGCGGCGGCGTCGCGGCCGGGATCGACGAGAGTGCTGTGCGCCCGGCCGGCCTCGCCATGGCCAGCGAGGAGGGCCAGCTCAAGACGCGGGTGTCCGACCGTCTGATGGCGCTCGTGGGCTACTCCGAGGTCATGGTGGTGCGTCTGGTGCTCCGCCTCGCGCGGGACAGCGCCTCGCCGCCCGACCTCGCGGCGCGCCTCGTCGACCTCGCCGGCCTCCCCTCCTCCGCCGACACCGTCGCCTTCGCGGAGGACGTGCACGCCATGTTCCCCCGCAAGGGCTCCCGCGTCAGCGAGTACCGGAAGCAGGTGCAGGAGGCGGCGGCGTTCGCCAGGAAGCAGAGCGCCCTCAAGCTGCTCGACGATGAGGACGATGTCGCCAAAGACGCCGGCGCCACCGCCACCGCGTCGTCCTCTAACAACAGCGGCAGGAAGCGTTTCAGGCAGAAGGCCGCGAGCCAAGGGGATGACGACGGCGAGGAGGAGGCGAGTGTAGTGCGCGATTCAGGGCGGAAAGTGCGAGCGCGGCGTGGACCGGCGGAAGACGGCGGCGACTCTGGTGGGGAGGAACTACAGGAGATGGACCGTGACCAGATCGAGAAGGCTCAGCTCGACCGGCACATCAGAGAACGCGACGCGGCCAGCACTAGGAAACTGACGGACCGGAAGCCGTCCAAGCGAGAACAGGGCGAGCTCGCCCGGCGGTCCGAAGCCATGGACAGGGGCGACACCTCGGAGCTCAGGACGGCCTCGCGGCACGCGTACCTGGAGAAGCGGAAGAAGATGAAGGTGGAGGAGATGCGAGACGAGATCATCGACAACGAGCTCATCTTCGACGGCGTCAAGATGACCAACGCCGAAGAGGAGGAATTCAGGCGCAGGAAGGAAATCTACGAGCTTGTCAAGGACCGCGTCGGAAAGGACGCCGACGCCGGCGACTACTACAGGATGCCAGAGGCATACGACGCCGCAGAAAACGTGGATCAGGCCAAGCGGTTCGCCGTTCCGAGGCAGCGGTACCATGACCCCGAGGCGTCGGCGGCGAGAGACGGCAAGAGGAGCAGTTTCTTCTCGGAGCAGGAGGCCTGGGAAGAGCAGCAGATAAGGAAGTCTCGGCTGCACTTTGGATCAGGTGATGGTGGCCGGGCCGGCGGCGGCTACGAGCTCGTCTTGGAAGACGTGGTCGACTTCGTCAAGTCAACGGTGCAGTCCGGCGCCGAGCCGGACGGCGAGATGGACGAACTGGCCGAGGCCGTCGACGCCAAGGTCAAGTTACAGCGGGAGCTGCAGGACGAGCGGAAGAACCTACCCGTGTACAAGTTCAAGGACGATCTGCTCAAGGCCATCGAGAAGTACCAGGTGCTGATCATCGTCGGAGAGACCGGCTCCGGCAAGACCACGCAGATACCGCAGTACCTCCACGAGGCCGGGTACACGGCCAATGGGAAGAAGATCGCGTGCACGCAGCCGCGGCGCGTGGCGGCCATGAGCGTGGCGGCGAGGGTGGCGCAGGAGCTGGGCGTCAAGCTCGGGCACGAGGTCGGCTACTCCATCAGGTTTGAGGACTGCACCTCGGACAAGACGGTGATCAAGTACATGACGGACGGGATGCTCCTGCGCGAGTTCCTCGGCGAGCCGGACCTGGCGAGCTACAGCGTGGTGATCGTGGACGAGGCGCACGAGCGCACGCTCTCCACCGACGTCCTCTTCGGCCTGGTAAAGGACATCGCGCGCTTCCGGCCGGACGTGAAGCTGCTCATCTCCAGCGCGACGCTCAACGCCGAGAGGTTCAGCGACTTCTTCGACGAGGCCCCCATCTTCAAGATCCCCGGGAGGCGGTACAAGGTGGACATCCACTACACCACGGCGCTGGAGGCGGACTACATCGCCGCCGCCGTCGTCACGGTCCTGCAGCTGCACGTCAAGCAGCCCGCCGGCGACATCCTGCTGTTCCTCACGGGGCAGGAGGAGATCGAGACGGTGGAAGAGCTGCTGAAGCAGAAGATGAGGACGGTCGGCAGCAAGATTGCGGAGCTGGTGATCTGCCCGATCTACGCGAACCTGCCCACCGAGCTCCAGGCCAAGATCTTCGAGCCGACGCCGGAGGGCGCCCGCAAGGTGGTTCTGGCGACCAACATCGCCGAGACGTCGCTGACCATCGACGGGATCAAGTACGTGATCGACCCGGGCTTCTGCAAGCTCAAGTCGTACAACCCGCGCACGGGCATGGAGTCGCTGCGCGTGGAGCCCATCTCCAAGGCGTCGGCGGACCAGCGCGCCGGCCGGTCGGGGCGCACGGGCCCGGGCAAGTGCTTCCGCCTCTTCACGGAGTACAACTTCAGGCATGACCTGGACGACGACACGGTCCCGGAGATCCAGAGGAGCAACCTGGCCAACGTGGTGCTGCGGCTCAAGGCGCTGGGCATCAACGACCTGGTGGGCTTCGACTTCATGGACCCGCCGGCGTCGGAGGCGCTGCTCAAGGCCCTGGAGGAGCTCTTCGCCCTCGGCGCGCTCAACAGCCGCGGCGAGCTCACCAAGACCGGGAGGCGGATGGCGGAGTTCCCCCTGGACCCCATGCTCTCCAAGGCCATCGTGGCGTCGGAGAAGTACGGGTGCTCCGAGGAGGTGGTGACCATCGCGGCCATGCTGTCGGCCGGCAACGCCGTCTTCTACCGGCCCAAGGACAAGCTGGTGCTCGCCGACACGGCGCGGCAGGCCTTCCACGCGGGCAACGTCGGCGACCATGTGGCGCTGCTCAACGTGTACAGCGCGTGGAGGGAGTCGGGCTACTCGTCGCAGTGGTGCCGCGAGAACTTCGTGCAGCCGCGCACCATGAAGCGCGCGCGGGACGTGCGGGACCAGCTGGAGGCGCTGCTGGAGCGGGTGGAGATCGAGCACTGCTCCGGCGCCGGCGACCTCGACGGGATAAGGAAGGCGGTCACGGCGGGATACTTCCGCAATGCCGCGCGGCGGCAGAAGGACGGGTCGTACCGTGCCGTCAAGAGCCGGCAGACGGTGTTCGTGCACCCGAGCTCCGGGATGGCGGATGTGCCGCCGGCGTGGGTGGTGTACCACGAGCTGGTGCTGACCAGCAAGGAGTACATGCGGCAGGTGACGGAGCTCAAGCCGGAGTGGCTGCTGGAGATCGCGCCGCACTATTACCAGCGCAAGGACATCGACGGGCACCAGCCGAAGAAGACGGGCAAGGACAAAGGTCCAGCGGCGAGGCAAACCTGAACCTCGACAATATTTCGACCTATAAATCCTGGAATTCAAATTTGTGTATAAAGATTATTCTTTTTACTCTACTTGTTTGTGTAAGATAAAAAATCCAGTGACGACGCACTACTACATTCTCTCCATTTCAAATTAATTGAAGTATGTGCCCAAATAAGCTTCTTTTAAGTGTATAAACAAATTCTAATCATGAAACTAATATATTTTATGATGAATCTAATGAAACTAATTTAGTGTACTATATGTTGCTGTGTTTTTTCTATATAAATATATAGTTGATTAAACTTTAAATTAGTAGGACCAAACTAAAACTTTAAATTAGCTTATCATATCAAGCCCAGCAAAAGGCACATCAGTTAAATTAAACTTGAAATACAAGTATCAGCGCATAGGTTTCCACTTATCATGGGCAATTCCTACATGCCATGGCCTTCTTGAAAAGGAAAAAGAAATCTACATGACATGGTATTGTTGAGATGCTACATACTATTGCCAGTTTCCATACTGCTGCTGCTGGTTTCGAGAGCCAGCTTGTGGGGGATAATTTGGCCCCCGGCCTGGGCCGCCGCCAGGACCATAAGGACCGGCTTGTGGAAAGTTTGGAGCACCACCATAGCCACCGCTGCTGCCGCCACCCCTTGGGCCACCGCCAGGGTACGGAGGAGGCCCTCGACCTTGTTGAGGGGGGTAAGGGCCACTCCCATAGCCGCCACCTTGCCCTCCACGGTTCGGATACCCTCCACCACCTTGGTTCCCGCCCGGTGGGTACCTGTTTGGCCCTCCTGGCCCTCGGGGCTTTCCATAGTGATGATTTGACCCAGATGCCATTGGTGGATGCGGGTTGTTGGTAGGCTGGGCTGGCCTTATTTGATGGCCTGATTGCTGGATTGGGGGCAAACGGGCATGAGGAGGCTGAGGATGATGCGTCTTTTGCCGCTTTGCAGCAGCATCATCAGCTTGCCGCTGCTGTTGACGTCTTTTCTTTGTCTGATATTCATGTGAAGCCTCATACTTTGGCAAGCTGCATCAGCAAACACAAAAGGAAATGGACATCAATTAATTAATCATAGTGGGGTATGTCTTAATAGAACTTAGGATGATTATGGCAAGCCACGAGTCAGGGAATGGAAAAGGCCTACGAGCATCACCTTTTAGGATCACATGGTAGGGGATCAGTCCAGAAATATTCAGAATCAAGAGCTTCATTTGCAGATATCCTCTGGAGAGTGCAAGTCATGTCAAATTATGGTTGAATAATAAAAAGAATTGGCAGTTACGAAAACATGAACAAAAAAGCCAGGCTCACAAACACTTCGCATATCAAAGCATATAAACGTAAGCAAACAAGAAGCAACTATACCTTTGACGGGTCCAATGTTAACATCCTCTCCAGCAGATCCAGAGCATGAAAATCAAAACTAGAACCACACATGGTAAGCAAACACTCTTCCGAAAGGGCAACTGAGCAAGCTTCAAGTACAAAAGATGAAAAGAGAAGTACGAGTATAATACATAGTACTTACTGTTTAAAAGCATCCTTAACATGCCTCTTCAATTGGCGGGGAGGCTTCAAATTATTATACCATGGCATTTTTGTCACACCCGGCCAAATCAATTCGTCAGGGGTACCACAAAGCTCGAATATTTTGGTCAGTTGGTCTGGCTGCACAAAATATCAGAGACAAGCGGATTACTCGTGATTGCAGTAGACTACAAGTTCAAGCTTGGAACAAATACACTTTAGTGCTAGGTGATTCCAGATACTGACTGGAAGTGCCTCAAAGTAAAGAACTGCTGGGCTAGACAGGGAGCAACTATATTTTTATAACCACGAAGAGAACCACGCACATTTTGAAGAAATTAAGAGTAAAGATGAATGAGGACAGAGGAGTTAATTTCAGGTTTCTCTTGCAAAGTAGAGAAGCATTCCCTAACTTCCAAAACATCTACAACGAGATTGGTGCACTTCTTTTTTCACATAACAGGGCTACTACAAGAATGGAATTTGTTTCCCTACTGTAACCAACTTTAAATGTATAGCTAAAGATTATTTGTAGATATGGAGAATTTTGTAAGAGTGTTCGAACTACCAAGAGCAACATTTTCACATAACAGGAGTACAAACATAGTAGGATGTGTTTTTCCTTCCATAACCAAGTTAAAATGTCTAGCTTCACATGGCTAGATATTCCCTAAGTACGATTTGTTGTAGGATATATATCCAACAGTGTACAGTCTATAGGAGATATTCCCCGAGTAGTAGAAAAATAGTAGGATGTGTTGCCGTCAGATAGATATGGATAATTTTGCAACATTGTACAATCTCTAGTTTTCCCCAGGTGTGTTACACATGGCTGCTAGTTTATCTTTACCTAGATGCTCTAGCTTCACATCATGACATATATTCTCCAAGTAGTACAAAAATAGTAGGATGTGTTGCCGTCATAGTTAAAAAAGGCGCGCCTAAGCGAGCGCTTAAGCGCACCTGGGCTCTAGGCGTTGGCAAAACGCATTGTGCATAACTACGCTTAATCTGTGCATAACTGCGCATAAGTATGCGCTTTGGTCAGTAAAGCGCAAGGCGGTGGCAAAACGCACAATTAACGCCTAGCGCTTTTTTGAACTACTTGCCGTCAGATAGATATGGATAAGCTTGCAACATTGTACAATCTCTAGTACTCCCCAGGTGTGTTACACATGCAAATGGCTGCTAGTTTCTCTTTACCTCAATGCTCCAGCTTCACATTATGATATATATTCCCAGTCTTTCATAATTATAAAAAATGATTCTTACACTATTTAGGTTTGAGAACTAAATGAATTGAAGATATTCAATTGATAATAAGTATATTCCAAGTCTCTCCATAATCATATTTAATGGATAATAAATTAAAGATATTCCAAGTCTCTTCATAGTCATAACATTAAGTATTTGACAGCCAATAGGAATTATGATAATAACAAAACTCATCACATCAAATAAGCAATTGATAAAAATAATCTGTCCAACACCTTTAGAAACCATACCTCATTCTTTCCAGGCAGTATTGGCTTTCCATTGAGAAGCTCTGCAAAAATACAACCCACCGACCACATGTCCACCGCTGGCCCATATTTTGTGCTTCCTAGCAGCAACTCTGGAGGTCTGAAATCATTAACCCAACAAAAGAGTCAGCAAGATCCAATTACAAACACTGCACTAGATAACTTGCAAGCCGAAAGGATAACACTGCAATACCTGTACCACAGAGTGATCACACGGTTAGTGAGGTTTGCGTTATGATCACTCGAAAATGATCTTGCTAGGCCAAAATCAGCCAGTTTTAAGTTACCCTCATTGTCTATCAAGAGGTTAGATCCTGCAGGAGTAAATTTTGATACATGGTTAGCATAAAAACAACAAAGTCACTGTCACAACATAACATCCAAATTCATGCAAATTGTCTGCCATAGATACCTTTAATATCACGATGCAGAACTTGATTGATATGGCAATAGTGAAGGCCCGTGAGGAGTTGCTTCATGTAGCACTGGTACATGACATTATGTCAGGAACCACACTTGTACTAGCAACCAGTACCATCATCATACACTTATGGATGGTTTTACCTTAATCTGTGGAATGGTGAAGCGCATCCCAGGCTTATCAGCCAACCCAGTCAAGTCATGGTCCATGTACTCAAAGACCATGTAAATGCTCCCTTTGTACTTGTTGCCATCGACTATGGAACAACAACACGACAGGTCAAATGGCAAAACTAGGCAACGGACCATTCATTTTAGTTTTTTGAGAGAAGAAGAATCAGAAACACTAATATCGTTCTTAGAAAAGAACCATACTTTGCTTCCCCTGCTCGTCTCTGTCCGGCCCTGCAAGAATCAATCCAATCCATTAGTCCTCTGGACGCAGGCAGTTAACAACCAAACATGATGTCCTTCTGATTCGTGGGATGATTAGTCGAACCTGGGGATGTCACGATCTCCTTGAGCTGGATGACGTTCTGGTGGTGCAGCTTCTTGAGGATTTTGATCTCGCGGATGGCCGTGATAGGGAACTGCGCCGAATCAAGAATAGAAAGCCTCAGAGCCAAGAACATCATTTAGGGAAGGAAAAAAAAGGAAGACGCGGCGGGATACTTACGCCCTCGCGCTCGTTGTCCATGCGGATCTTCTTGAGCGCGACAATCTCCTTGGTCTCCGTCTCCTTGGCCATGAACACTTGCCTGGCAACAACAAAGACGAGGCAGCCGAATCAGACCGACGGATATGCGTTTCGCGGGATTGGGGGATTGGGATTGAGGGGTCGATAGGCGCGTACCCGTATGTGCCCTCGCCGATCTGCTCGAGCTTCTCGAAGCAGTCGACGCCGCGGGAGCCCCACGACGGGTAGTCGTCGAGGTTGAGCTGCCCCGGCGCCGCCGTCGCCATGGCTTGCGGCGCTTTCCCCTCGCGGCGAGTTAGGGTTTAGGGGACGCGACGCGAGGATTGGGTTGGTGGGGGCGTGGGAAAGGAAAGGAACGGGGCCGAAGAGGGGTGTGGTGTGGACTCTGAAGCCTGAACAAGTCGAGTCGGGTTGGTTGTCATAAGCTTCAATCGTGTCCGTCCGTTCTCCGGGTAGTCGTGTGATGAGATTGAACACGTGCGTGTTTCGGTGTTTCTATCTCTTTTCCCCCCTTTTTTCCGATTATGGGGTATTAGATAGGAAAAAGGCAGAATAATCGACACATTTTCTAAAAAAATAAAGTGCAACATTACAATCACTAGAAGAACGCCCGTGCGTTGCAACGGGGCCACACACACAGACACACACTCTCTCTCCCTCTTCCTCACTCTCTATCCCCCTCTCCCTCTCTCTCTAACACACACACATATCCATCTTATTGGGTACGGGACCATAATCCATCTATTTCACACATACATGCTAGTGCATAACAATATGAATTATGTGTATTATATTTGCCACCAAAACTGAGGGAATTAATTTCATGTAAATCGACCAGTCACAGCTCCAAGAATACGCGGACGAGGTGGCTCGGGTCGGCGTCGGCGCCGTCCAGCGCGGGCCACGGGCCCGCTTCCAAGTGCACGTGCAATGCACGTCTTCACAAATATTATAACCAGATGTGAGAAATCACATGCATAGAAAAGACATTCTGATAGCAATCCAAATATCATACTCAATTGAATACCTAACCTGGACAATACTCTTATTTCTATGCGCCAGAAAAAATGGAATAACAAAGCTAAGTGTGCCTACATACGCTCAGATTATATATAAGAATCTTGGGTGAACAATTGCAACAAAGCACTAAGCAGCGATAAATTTAAATAAACAATCCATTAACTATGCAGGCAGCAGGCTTGTTACAACATAGAGAGATAGGAAAATGTCACCTCCAGTAATGTAGCGCAAAGGAGTGGAACGAAGCATGAATGAGCGGTTGTCTGTTCTTCTCCATGTACATGGATCAGCAGTAGAGACCAAGTATATAAGTACTTGACTGAACTCCACTCTTCGTGTACGGAGAGCCATGTCACCTTCTCACCGCTGCAGCATGGGAGGACGGCTGGTTCACGTGACCCTCCAGCTGGGGATCCATGGTGGCTGACCGTCGAGTTCGAGGCAGAGAAGTTGAGGGCAGCAGTGGCGAGATCCATGCCGGCCAACCGGGCGAAGAGGAGGTCGTCGGGGAGGGACACATCGGCAAGATCCGGTCACCACGCGACCTGAAGAGCAACAGTGATCTCCACAAGATGTAGGCTGACGGCGTGCTCCATCCCCTGCGATGGGGTGACCATGGCGGTGGCCACAGCTCCTCATGCTCGCCTTGATCTCGGAGACACACCCTGAGTGTAGGAGGCAGCAACGACCTCGACGAAATCATGGCCTCCATCACGGAACGCATGAAGGACCTCGGCCCCATCGCTACTCCTCCCGCCGTAGCCGCACGCAGCAGCGGACCGTGGGTAGGAGGGCAGGCGGCATCGCCTCGGCTGACGGCAGGGAGCAGCGTTGATTTCGGGTAGGTGGCATCGCGAGGACGGCCGCGGCCGCGGGGAAGCACCCCGATCATGCTGCCAGGCCAATCCTTCTCCTCCGATCCCCTATCCCCAAAGATTGCGCCGCCGCCCGGTCGTGTTGTTTCCATATGCCATTTTTTCCTGTACCTAAACAAACGCGGGCGAGCGGATGGCAGAGTTTTGGTCCGCCCTCTAAAATTGCTAAACGCACTTTTGGTGAGGATTATTGTTAATAAATGAATTCAATCATGTCACTCTAAATAAATGGATTCAATCATGTGACTCTAATTACTTCGGATTGTTGTGTGCACACTAAGCGGGGTGCAGTTAGGAAAGAAAATGTTTTCTAATTAAAGTGATTGAGTGATTTAAGGTAAGCTTAATTAATTTAGATTTGATTTTTAGTGATTGTTAGTAAAGTATGATGCGTCTTTAAAATCTTTTATTTGTTTCCTTAAAATCTATTATTTGTTTCCTAAAGACATTTGCAATAATGGAAGGTATCGGTTGATTTGGATAAGTTAGTAAATTTAGATCCGTGATTGCGTGCATGTTTGGAAAGTGCTGATTTGCAAGGAAAGAGTTGAGGGGTAAATAAACCGGTGAATAAGAAACCAGCATCGAAAAAAATCTACGACGGTTAACCTACGAAAAAAAACCGGACGAAAGTGGTGGGACGAAAAAAAACCTGGAAGCGAGACTACCAACTGCTTCATTAGGAGTAGAGATGTCAAATTTTAAATTTAAGCTCTTTTTTTTACTGTGGACCTATGAAAAACAAACTCAATGTCATTTTTTATAATAAACATGGGAATTTGAAGAAACACAACAATAAAATGGCACGCCATCTCTGATGTTTACGACATTGCATGTGTGTTTGAGGGATTCTTTGTATTGTACGATTTTCTTGTATGTTGTGCTTCTTTCACAAAGGTTCAAATTTGATTAGGGTAGAAACTTGGGTTTGAGGTTGTGCTAGAAATTTGCACTGCTAGCTAGAGGTGCGGCGAAAGAACCCGTCCAGATGCTTGTTGTTGTTTTGGCAAGAAAAAAGCAATTTTGTAAAATGTCACATGATCAAACTTTTGTTAGCTCTTTGCCGAGCTTACTGTATATCAACTGGTGGTCTCAGCACATGTCATGGTAAATATGAAAAGAAAGTTTATCTTTCGGTAGAAGTAGTCACTTCTTATCTAAGGTCTGAAACAACCCTAAACATCTAAAAACAATAGAAAAATTGTCCCAGCAATTTTAAAATCCTTATAGACAATGGAAAGTAAGCACTGCCTAGTAGCGAACAATTACCATATGTCGTCTCATTTTACATCACGGGCTTGTTTCTTTTTCAATGAAAGTAGAATTAGGGGCATTGCCCTGAAGATCATTCTTTTTACATCATGGTCCTTTGAAAGGCCGGTGCAACCATTGTTTTTCTCAAATGCGCAGAGCGTGCGCACTATATATTAAAGAAGGGAAAGGGGGAGAGGCCCTCCACGTTGGGTGTTACATGAAGTTACATTACATGAAACCCAACTACACCGCAAAGGTAAAAAACTACACTTCTACTCTCTCATACGCTCCCCACCTAGCCACAGCCCTAAAGAGAGTTTCCATGTCTCCCTTTATAAGTCCCGCATCCTTCCAAACCCTACCTTCCTTCTCAATGGTTTGCAACAAGACTCACAAGGATGGTGTGGCTCCATAAAAAACGATGGCGTTCCAGTGCTTCCATAGCTCCCATAGGACAAGGAGGATGGTTGTCCTCATTTTCTTCATGCTCTGGCTCGTGCCGTTCTTCTCCGCATACCACTCCACCAATGTTGTTTCGCTTGTCGGTACCCAATCTGGCTTGTCCAGAGCCGCACAGATAACAGTCCAAAAGCTCCCTAGCCATGATGCAGTTCAGCAGAATATGCCTAATGGTCTCCTCATGCTGGGCGCATAAAGGGCAAGCGTCGTGGTGATCAAGGCCATGTCGGGCCAGCCGGTCCGCCGTCCAGCATCTACCTTGAATTGCAAGCCAGGTGAAGAAGCGACGGCGTAGCGGTGCCCTTAATGACCACGTGAAGACAGCAGTCGGCGACACTTCATGGCCCCAAAAATTAGCCTGATAGGCAGAACTGCATGAGTATGTACCATCCCGTTCCCAGGCCCAACTAATCTCATCAATGGCCTCCGGAATCAGGGTCACCCGATTGACCTGCGTGAAGGAAATATGCCCTAGAGGCAATAATAAAGTTATTATTTATTTCCTCATATCATGATAAATGTTTATTATTCATGCTAGAATTGTATTAACGGAAACATGATACATGTGTGAATACATAGACAAACAGATTGTCACTAGTATGCATCTACTTGACTAGCTCGTTGATCAAAGATGGTTATGTTTCCTAACCATAGACATGAGTTGTCATTTGATAAACGGGATCACATCATTAGGAGAATGATGTGATTGACTTGACCCATTTCGTCAGCTTAGCACTTGATCATTTTAGTTTACTGCTATTGCTTTCTTCATGACTTATACATGTTCCTATGACTGAGATTATGTAACTCCCGATTACCGGAGGAACACGTCGTGTGCTACCAAACGTCACAACGTAACTGGGTGATTATAAAGGTGCTCTACAGGTGTCTCCGATGGTACTTGTTGAGTTGACATAGATCAAGATTAGGATTTGTCACTCCGATTGTCGGAGAGGTATCTCTGGGCCCATTCGGTAATGCACATCACTATAAGCCTTACAAGCATTGTAACTAATGAGTTAGTTGCGGTATGATGCATTACAGAACGAGTAAAGAGACTTGCCGGTAAACAGATTGAACTAGGTATTGAGATACCAACGACCGAATCTCGGGCAAGTAACATACCGATGACAAAGGGAACAACGTATGTTGTTATGCGGTTTGGCCGATAAAGATTCGTAGAATATATGGGAGATAATATGAACATCCAGGTTCCGCTATTGGTTATTGACCGGAGACGTGTCTCGGTCATGTCTACATAGTTCTCGAACCCGTAGGGTCCGCACGCTTAAAGTTCGGTGACGATCGGTATTATGAGTTTTTGTGTTTTGATGTACTGAAGCTAGTTCGGAGTCCCGGATATGATCACGTACATGACGAGGAGTCTCGAAATGGTCGAGACGTAAAGATCGATATATTGGATGACTATATTCGGACACTGATCCGGATGAGTCTGAATCATAAACCGGATACGTGTTTATATTGAACGGTGGAGCTGTCAGTTGGAGCAGTTCTCAACAAAGCGTCGTGGCGGGATCTACATGTGAAGCGGAGTACATTGCTGCTTCGGAAACAGCAAATGTAGGAGTGTGGATGAAGGAGTTCATATCCGATCTAGATGTCATACCTAGTGCATCGGGTCCAATGAAAATCTTTTG